ACAAATCACACGGTTTCTCTAGACTAAACTTTGTTGTGAAGATAACGAGATGAACTTCTTCCCATGAGAAACTCCTAACATTCAATTGAGTGACTGTGGCTGCCATCTTGAGTTTTTTCACCACCTCAGCATCACTAACTAATGCCTTTTCAGGATCTTACTTGCAATATTTCTTTACTATACACTTATTACTGGAAGTATTACAGCTTTGAGAAATTACTATACACCTTGTATTGGTATATTAGGAATTTAATCTCAGATTAAATTCCTAAACATTTTCAGTATATTGGAAAATCATTAGTTTTATCTCCAAAACTATGTGGCTTGAGAAACTGGCTTGCAGATGTAATGCCGGAATGCACAACTTCCATCAACTTGAGATCTACACCGGAAGTAGATCGGGCCAGTGCTTGTTTTGGGAGGAGAGTTAAGGTGTTTGAAGTGGTGCCTTAGAGTTCTGAGACATAAGGAATCAAAATCCCCAAAATGCAAAAAAGAAAAAGGGGAACCCCAATTTTTGCCCACTCACACTGAAATGCTCTGTGTCCAGATTTGGTTCATGGACTCTACTTTTTATACTGATGGTACCGTGGCTATTGATGTTTATGTGCCACATTTTCACCTTTGGTTTCCAGTAATTTGTGCATTGATGCCTAATTCAGAATTTCCAGGGGGGAAACCAAAAAAAAGATAACACCAAAGGAGGTGCCAGGAATGATCAATATTTTAATAAAAATATTATATCTGTAGAAATAGAATTATCAATATTCTAATAAAAGGTTTATTGAAACAATCCCTATACTTACAGCGTAGGGGTTCCCTTCTTCTCATTACCACAGCAAAGATGATGTTCCATGGAATATGACTCACAAGGGGGTTGTTTTCGTTGGGCAAGTTTAATGTCCCTTCAACCTCTCTCTCCCCCTCCACCCCTGGAGTTGCTTAGTTTAGCCATTAGCAGGGGAAGGTTACTTATTAACGAAGAGTAAGTGTCTAGCAGGTATTGGGTGCCTGCTATGACAAGAGAGAAATAATTATCTAATTGGGGTTAGAGCAGAAAGTTTGTTATCTTGTGAGGAAAAGCTAGCTTGTCTTATAAACTGATAAACACTAAAACTGAATAAAGTATTTCTAAAGTTCTAAAAGCAGAGTTCATTGACAAAAAACTCACCCATTGGAACTTGTAACAGCTGGCCAGATGCAGCAAAACACAGCTAAGAATGCTCTTTCTTGCTTTGATGCTGAGGTTTGGTGATACAGTTTTGGGAGTGCTGGAAGCCACATCTGGCCCAAGTCTGCATGACAGTAGCATTTTAAATTATATGTAGATCCTTGGCTACGAATGGCTTTTATAGTTAAGATCAACATACTGAATTGGGCCTGTGGGCAGTATGAATTAAGTAATTTGGTTGCATATTGACTGTTCTCAAAATGTCTAAGTTGCTGGGAAGATGCTTCTTGCAGTAGCTAAATCTTCCAGCTCATCTTTCAACAAGGGCAACATCATCTATTTCACAAACACATATTGAAGAAGGAAGAGAACCCAATTAAAAGATTTAGTTGATAAAAGCAGCTGCAGGCATTTGCTTAGGAGAAAACTCTGGTCACTCTAGAAACACTCCCAGTATATACTTGATCCTAGGAGATGGAGTTGCTCCCCTAAATTTGTGACAGAATTATGTATAATATTTAACTAATTGCCATAATGCAGTAATTGCTAGAGTCCATTTTTCCCCTCTGCAGGATAAAGACGGGAAACCACTTTTGCCAAAACCTGAAGAAAAGCCTCAGGTGGGTGTAGAGATTCATCAGGAACCTTTAATAGATTGTTCTAGTTTAGAAATAAATAATTCGAAAACCTTGGTTAATGACTTTTTCCAGTTGGACACTTGTTTAACAGGATCAGAGTATTTCTTTCATAATAAGGGTTCTAAACTGGGAGTACTGTATTCAGTTACCCAATGAAGGAAAGAAAGGGACATTTAAACATGGATTAAACGTTTCTTCTGATTTCTAGGCCCTGAGTGAAAGTGAACTTCTTGATGCTTTGTCTGAAGGGTTTTCTTGTTCTGCAGCAACAGCAACAGCAGCAGCAGCAGAAGCACCTGCGGTAAGGTTTGGTTGAGTCTGAGAAAATTTTTGAAATTGAGATGAAATTAAATGCATTCTCTAGTTGTAACAAATGTAATTAACTGTGGTAGAAGTACAGTGTACTGTTCAATTGCATTCAATATTGTTTCAAGTACAGAAACACATCTGTACAATAGCATAATATTTGTAGGCCCATTTTTCGATCTCTTCTAATGAATGTGAGCATACATTTTGCATTTTTTCGTAGCTGGTACACACTAGGTTAATCTTTTAACTGACATTTGTCAGGACATTTTTGGATAAGCTAGAAATTTTTAACACATAGGACTTTTACAGGGGGCTGGCAGCATTGAGAGTTTTCTTTTTATTAGGAGGCTAGGAAAGATGGGATTTCAGCTGATGGCAAGTTTTGTTCCATTTCCCTTCCAAAATCTGATTTGAAAGAAAAATGTAAACATATAATGTTCAGGGGTTAATTTAAAAATACTGTATTTAACTGAAAGATCATTGAGAATTTAAAATGATGGTTCTAGAAAAGAAAGAGAAGACAAAAATTACAAACTTTATATAAATGCTGTGTAATGCCTAGTTTCTTTGCCTTTCAACCTAGGATTGCCAACTGCAGCAGAAGCCAGATGTGAAGATTTCATATCCATTAATGTGTTCATGTGACACCCTTGTAGATATGTCTGCGTATATGAATACATGCATATACACACTGGCCGGAAGTCTTGCTCAGAAAAGAAAGGGCAAAGATAGATAAATGTGAATAATTCCTGATTGAAAGTTCTTGTTTATAAAGTAAGGCATGACCTTTGTAAGACTAATGAACCCCTGTTACATACACACCCAAAACATTTTCTTTCAAACACACGGACACTTGTCCATCTACCCCTTTCAATGTAAAGCAGCAGTGGGGAAAAAAAGGGACATGAGGTGAGCAAAAGGAGCAGCTTCACCTGGAAGAGAAGAGAAGAGAAAGAGAGGGACAAGCCTGAGTGGAGAGGAGGAAGGAAAATAAACAAGAGAAGCCCTGTTGAAGCATTATAAAAAGGTTTAAAAATCACCATTGAGCAGCAAGCAGGAGCCTAGCCCATCCCAAGTCCTGCTGGTTATATAATTCTTTTTCTTTCTCTAATAAAAACTTCATTATTTTATATAGAAAGTACAATTAAAATACAAAACAGAGAATACAGCAAAGAAAGAGGATAAAACTAAAAGAAAAAAGTCAAAAACTAAAATAGTGAGAGTAGATAGAAAAATGAAACAGAAAGTGACTTCCAACTATCTCCAACACAGATATAGATACAAATTGAAAGAAAATTAATCTCTTACCACTAATTAATCCAAATTCACATTATTTCTATCAACACAAACCATCTAATCATTAAAACCCACAATCAGAGACTCATTTTTTCCCACACGAGCACGTAATCTAAGAAGGGTTGCCACGAGGAGACAAATGTAGAAACAGTATTATCTCTTATTAACGCTGTTAACTTTGCCATTTGAGCCAAATCCGTTAATTTAATGATCCATTCTGGTTATATCATTTTTAAAGGTATTTGTCACTGGGACTTGAGAAGGGTGGAGAGAATTCTCTGTTGCTTTCCTAGTGAATGTTAACTCTTTTTGCAATACAGGAAAGGGAAGAAGCCATACCTCTTTTCATTGCTTCTTCCTCTTCATCCATGTACTGTAGAGTTCTTGATTAGGTGAGGCTAAAAGTGTGATGCTCCCTTTCAACAGTGCCCGTTCTCTTTAAATACCCCCTCTCTCTCCCCCTTCAGCAGTAATTACTACAGGAAAAACTTGTAGTATTTTCTGGTAAATTCCATACAGTTTTAGAAAAGGATTTAGAAGGCATTAAGGGACAGATCAGAAACAGTTCTATGTGTAACTGCTGTACTTCTTTTGACCTTACTTTTACATGTATTGATCAATTCTTTACTTTCCTTGTAGAAATCTACAGGTGCTAGCAAGTCGGCTATTGTCCCTACAGAAGAGGTTATTTCTTCTGCTGCTGCTTCTGCTGTGCGTTCATCTGTTCCTACACAAGCGGTCATCCCAGTAAGTACAGCAATATTTCCTGATAACTTTACTGATGGCCAAAACTTCAGATTTTAGCAACCTTCACCAACCTATCCATCTCCAGATATATTGGCATTGCAATTCATTTTTATTAGCCCATCTATTGTTTTAGGAATGTTGATGATGATCTTCAAGTCTAGGATCTTCAAGTCTGGAAGGAACTGTAAATTATTGAAAGATACATGCACATAGTTATTTGATTTTTTTATACAGAGTGCTGTTTATTGGCTAAGGGAGTAACCTGGTAGAGTGTTCTTGAGTTCCATTGGAAGTGCTTTTATTAATGTTGAAGCAGCATTTGAGTTAAATGAATTTGATTTACAGCTATATTAAAACAGGGTTCTTCTCTGCAGCCTTTCAAGGATCTTTCAGCTGGCTCTACATAATTTCTACCTCCCCAGAAGTCTGTGAATGTGGATATACATGTGGCTTTTGTTTTTCTTAAATCTGTCAGGGTAGGAAGGAACTTGATGCTGCTGCAGATCTGCTTGCAGACTCACTGGGACAAAGACAGCCTGACCCAGAGGAAAACAAACCAGTTTTGGATAAAATAAAGGTGAGAAAAAAGCAGACTCTTCTCCCCAAACTGCTAACACTGTACTGTACTTGTCTTTCAAAGTTGCAAAGAAAACTAGATGTCCTGAGCTACAGAGGTTGGCAGAAGGGAGGACTGATTGAGCCAGGGAAGTTTACTGAAGAAGTCAGTAGAGATGTTTTCTGTGTCAGCTCTCAAGTCACTGTTTGTTTTACTGGCCTTTCTTTTATTGCTTGCTTCTGCTAGGAACCCTTTTGCTCCCTTTGTTTGCCTTTTAAATACTGAAAATCAAAATAAAATCATTTACTGTTTGTGAATTATGTAAGTCATTCTGATTATTTATCAGTATCGAAAAAGGGGCATATTCCAACATTTTTCAGCTCTTCAAATGCAGCCATTTGTCATGGAAGTAATTTTGTTTCTTTTAATAAAGCTTTATTTGAAATACTTTAAAGCTTCACTACTTTTTAGAATTGCACAGGACCAAGAAATTTCTATTTTGCTTTGATTTTCATAGAGTCATATACTCTAATCCCAAGCAGACAAATGGAAATTTGTAATTTAACCATGAGTACATTTTATGCATTGGCTTTCTAGCATATTAGAAGATTTTGTCTTCTGAAGTATGAGGCAAAATTTCTGGCTTTAGGATATTTCTGTCTGCATTCTGACTCATATGAGAGAGGCTTTCTAGATAAATAATCAGCCTATGACCTTTATGCTTATTTGAAATTTGCTCGGACTGCAGAACTATAACTGCAAGAAAAAAGTTAGTCGAAAACTGAATATTTGTGTTTTATGAATATTGATTTAATTTTTACAAAAGACTTTGTACCAAGCCAGAAATAAAAGAACTGAAAATTCACAGAAGCTTGACTTAAAAATGTTTAAAAATGTTCTATATTTCTTGAGTTCAGTTACAAAAAATATTATACATAATGTTGCTTTGTATTTAGCTGGCATTGTAAAATATTTCATATAAGGATATTTGAACCTGTAATGTTTTGTGGCATTTTTTTTTTCATTTTTATATTCTGTGACATCACTTTAACATTATAATTCTTCTGAGGAGGATACCAAGTGTGCTGCTGAGATTTATACATAAGACCTTCATCTATAAAATATGGTTGGGATTCATTAGACTCCTCTAAAAGAATAAGAAGTATCTTTTTTTAAAAAAAACATTTTATAGGAAAAAGTCAGATCTGAGCATAGAGACAAACTTGGAGAAAGAGATGATACAATCCCACCTGAATATAGGCATCTTCTGGACTCGGATGAGAAGGTAAATAAATACTCTTAAAGTCAAGCTTACAACATAGGTTTTTTTTTTTAAAAAGAAATAAACATATCCATGTAGGACTAGACTTTTGAATAACATTGATGAAGAACTAATAAATGCAGGATGTCCCTAGTGTTTAAATGTGTGTTACCTTATAAACGGCACTATTTCCCATCCTAGTGTCCCCTAAATGTGTTGAACTTGAACGCTCCTTATCTCTAGTAAGGATGGGTTCTGTTAACCAAGAATCATGGGAATTGATATCCGTAAATGTCGAAGGGTATACAGTTAGGGAAGGCTGCTTTAGAGCAACTTTTTTTCCCCCCGCACTCAATTGTGACCGATTCTGCAGTGACTGCCTGGACGATTCCCTGCAGTTTTCATGGCAAGGTGTTTTTCAGAAGTGGTTTGCCATTGCCTCCTTCCTAGAGTGGAGCCCAGCTGGTGGGCGCAGGAAGGCAGGGTTTCCGTTGCTTCGCGTCTTTTCGGATGTATGCAACTTCTCCATTACTGGCAACTGGTCCCGTCTCCTGTACAAGGCGCCACCAGCGTTTTTCCTCCCACTGGGGTGACAGTACCCATTTATCTACTCACGGATGCTTTTGAGCTGCTGGGTTGGCAGAAGCTAGGGATGAGACAGGTGCTGAGTCTGCCGCACGGAGCTGGGCTTGAACTGCTGAAGTGTTGACCATTTCTGGCTGGCAACTTCCAGCGTCATTAAGCCACTGCACCACCGCATCCCTTTCTTAGAGCAACTAGAACAGATTATTTGACACTGAAAATGAAAGTATCTTGCTCACGTCATGTTTTTTGAAACTGTATTTTGCAGTGGAGAGAGTTTTCCATAAACATGAAACATTGAAAGTTTTAGCATGCAGAATGTTACTATCGAAGAACATGAAGGTAATCTTGTACCCACAGAATTAGGAAGAACTGAAGAATCAACAAGCACTCTAGAATTTTCAAAACAGATTAGCCTTGAATAGGCTGGTGGTGGAGCTACAGAATGAAACTAATATTTAATCATGTTTATCTTTGTCAAAGGGTAAGCCAACAGAGAAAGATGGTGAGAAACTCAAAGAACAAACGGTAAGGGGGTATTACTTTAAACTCTGTGCTGTGCTTGGTTTTCAGTACACTGGCATAGTTTACTGAAATATGAATGAGTCTGCCTCCAGGACTGAAATGTTGGATATGAATCCCTTAATATCACACTTATATAGCATGATCTTTAATACTGGTCAGATGAAAAAGGGTCCTGACTAGTTTGCATAAGACCAATAATCAGTAAGATAGCTTCTATGTGGAATTGACAATATTGGAAAGAGCAAGAATTCTTAAAAGTTGCAGGATTCTTAAAATGACAAATATGAATTAAAAGCTAAATGGAGCTGTGCTCTGGTACTGATAATGGAGCGGCCCTATCTTCATTATTTCTGCTGCTGCAGCCTGGTGGGATTTTGTTCTGTGCTGTTTCTCTACCGTTTCATATCAATTAACCCCATGTACCATGGCAGGTGAGGAAACTCAAGGAGTAGGATGCAGTGCTGAGCATTAAGGAAAAGGATGATTTTAATTTTAACAACAAAGACCTGTGGTACCTGAAAGATAGTCTTCATTTTGAAAGTTCTTGCTTCATTTGCTCCGTATTTTTCTACCAAATATGCTTGTAGTAGTAGTAGTAATCTTTATTGTCATTGTACTTCTCGTACAACGAAATTAAATGCCACCCCAGTGCAACTTTAAAAATATAAAAACCATAGAATACATAAAACACATAAAACCCAACCTTCACATTCCATTCACCATTGCACAACCCCTGATGCTGCATTAACTAAAATTTGTCCCATTTTGGTTTGGAGCTTAACTTTTAAATTTGGCAAGGAGAGATGGCCTTTGAAAACTACTTGCTTTGCAGTTCTTTAAAATGTGGGGTAATCTTGTAACTATTCTTATTCCAGAAGCCAGACAGTGATACAGCAGCCATAGATGCCCTCTCAGGGGACTTTGACCATTGTGGTAAACCTGTAGTTTCACAGCCATCTTCAACAAAGGTGGGTGTCTTTTCTGACAAAGGAGAACAGGTGCTCTTTAGTTTAGTCTTAATGTCCTGTCATTAAGGGAGCAAATGTAACAAAAGGCAAGGTTTGCAAAATGGACTTGCTTCTATTTTATTAAACAGCGAGTCAATGAAAGCTGCTGTTGAGCAAGACTTGTGCTGTTATTTACTCTTGAATTGCTGTGAGCAAAAAGTTTTGTGTGAACACATTGTGGGTTAATACCTTTTACAAAGTATATTGTACAACATCTGCATTGTATTTGTGAACACAAATCCTATTTAAAAATAATAATTAATTAATTATTAATTAATTCAGGTAATTAATAAATAATTAATTCAGGTAATGGAACAAAGAGTTGGCTGTTTTAAATGCTAGTTCAGGTTTTTTAGAGTCAAGTGGAATGAGGGAGTAAGTATTAAATGTCCTTTCTTGCTTTTATTTCTTAGTTGTAAATTTGAGTTTTATTAGTTCTCATGAATGTCTCCAGTGCAAATACTGTCTTTAAGTTATCCAAAGAAACCCCTCTACACTCATCAAAAATAAAAGTTGTTTTGAATGTGTGTTCCTAGTAATAAAGTTTTTCTCACAATAAAATTATTCTAAGTATAGGCTTCTTTTTGTTTGTTTGCCTGTCCAGGACAATACAAAAAATGGCAGAGTTTTCCCATGTGCATGTGAATATGCACTCACTGCAATGCAAGAATTTATTCTTACACCATGAATAAAAAATATGTATGAACTTGCATATTTAAATACTAAGCTACAGAAAACTTGTATCTTCCTCAGGAAGGATAAAGCAGAAGGGGGTGCTTGGTAGGAGGGCTAAGGAGCTTCTTATTTCCCACAGTCAACTGTTCCCTCAACTAAAGTCTCAGCAGCTGCGTTATATAAAAACACAGTATCTCTTAAACTTGTATTATGGAACTATATGGTGCTCTATCTTTAACAATTAGTTTTAGGTTCTCCTTTCTGCTTCCTCCACACATGCCTGAACCCTTGCTCCAGGTCACCATCTCAGAATCCATGAACTTGTTTTTCTATATGTATCTCATGTAATTGCTCTCTGGAAAGATGTATTTCATTATGAACAGGCATTTTTCTCTGTTGGGCACAGGAGGACAAATCAAAAGGTGCTGCCTCATCTAAACCATCTAAGAAGGAGGAAAAGAAATCCAAGACCCCCAAGAAAGTAAGAGATTAATATAATTATATTAATGTGATTAGTTCTTTTGTCTCTTGTATGAGCTGGAGAATTTCTAGAACATCCTGTGTGCAATTTTTAACCTTATTTTCTTTACCCTCTATTGGTAGTCAAAAAGCCTGATTTTTATCTTATATCATTACCACCACCCATTACAGAATAGAAACTATGAAGCTGTTGTACTCAGATTGAGCGATGTGAAACTATGGGGGTAAAAGGAAAGAAGAGTGAATATAATCAATGGGATACACTAACTATACCTTAGCCTGATGCATACTTATAAAAATGTTATTCCTAAATAGCATGCGGAAGCCAACGTTTCTGTAGCCAGTCTGGAGATTATGGAAGCTTTGTACATTATTTGCCTAAATTCATAGGCATATTTAATACTAGGTTCTATCTTAGTTATTTAATTAAATCTGTAAGTGATGGCCTTTTTGCTGTTTCAGGTGCTTGTATGATGTACATAATCACTTGTAATAGGGCAGTTAATATTTAACTTTCAATGTTAAATGAAATCAGCCAATTTGTAAAATGGGAAGAATAAATTCAGTTTCAGTATCAATTCTACAGATCATTATTATACTTGGGGCAATGCTGGTACATAGATAATTGATATGTAGTAACTATTTTAACACATCAAACTGAATGATATCCATATTAACTCATTTTAAGCCTGTGAATAAAGCCAGTGGCATGGGTCGTAGTATTTACATGTTGTCCTTGTATTGTTTTTTAAATCAGAATTGCTCTGCTTCTGTTTCTGCTTTTAGCAATGCAAGTACTTTTATGTTAACTCCTTTCAAATATTCTAAACAAATAAACACACTTGCCACCTGGGTACTACTGCTCTGATCAAATGTTGAATCTCCCTACATGCATAAAAGTACCAATTAACTTTAGGAGAAACGGTCATCTGCTTAAGATGTGAAAACTTTTTATCCCACTCCCTAGTTTTTGATAATTTTGTGTATTTCAAACTTTTTAAAAATAAGTGTTTATTTTCCATTGTTTATTCAGTGACCTGGTTAACACATCACACTTTACTATGGTTTGCTTAATAATGCCTTATTGACTGGCTTCACATAACATTCTGAGCCAAAATCAAGCCTCCCTCACAACTCAGCCAGTGTTTACTGCATGGATGCAGTAATTAATGTCACGATGCTTTTCTCTCTCTTTAAGGCAAAGGAGCAGTCTTCCAGTGCAAAATCTGAGAAACAAAAAAAAAGTTAAATGTCACAGGTAAGGCAGTTCTGAGCTATATATCATGATCCAGAATGAATTAACATTTAGAAAATCATTATAAACCCTGACTACAGGATAAGTATTTGACTGTTTCAGAGATTAGTTTGACTCATATCATGTATTCTGATATCCTAAAAAGCCTTTCCCAACATGGTGCCTTCTTTGTAAGATGTCCTCTTACATCTTTCCCATTAGGGATCCATTGCTGTACACTTGAAGTACCAGATGTGTAACCTACAGGATGCATCAGCCCCTTTTTGCGGTCCCTGGAGGCCTTTCCTGCAAATATCAGCACCAAAATAGAGGCCCACTTTTTCCATGTTTCTTACAAATAAGAAGTAAAATCAGGTCATTCATAAAATAAACAAACTTGCTCTCTCTGGTGATAATGCATCACTGCCATAATCCTTAAAGTTGGAAAAAAATCATTAAAAAAACATATTGCCCCTGCCCCCATTGTTGGCTATACCCGAGCTAATTTTTTTTTACAGGCCTCTGCCTAATTTTGAAGCATATTGCAAGAGATCAGTTCAGAACTACAGTAAGATCTGTTTCCCAGCTCCTTGGGAAGAATGAGAGAATGAGTGTGCCCGTTAGCACCATCCAGCCCTTGCTTAAGCCCCATCTGGCTCCCCGAGAGATAACTTTTGATTAAAAAAAAAAAGTTGTCTGCTGGCCTTTTTAATGAAACACTAGTTTTTACTCTTGGGAGCAAAGGAAATTTGATTACAGCAAGAAAATGATGTTCAGTAAGAGGATTCTATTTACATGAAGCTTCATAGATGTAATGTTATGATGTTCTTATATCCTGTATTTTTATGTTTTTTTGTACTGAGTCACAAAGTTGAGATGAATGGCTCTATACATTCTATAAATAAATAACATTGGTTAGCTTAGGTCAACCCTGTTTGTCCTGCTAATCTGGATACTTTAGTTTTCTATTTTAAAATTTCTGCCTCAGCTGCTGAATTTTATGACACACTTCCTTTTAAGAATATATTTTTATCTTTTCAGAATGTTTATCACCAGTGCAAAAAGTCTTTATTTTGATGGACAGCTGCATTTGAACCAAAGCAGTTTCACATAAAGATAGTATCTTGGATATTTTGTGGTATTGGGCTATTTTGGCATGCAAGACATTTATTTTGCTATTTTCAAGGATGAACTCACATTTCCTAGACACTTACTTTACTGTTTTTATTACTGTCATTTTCTTAAGTTTTGAGAAGAAAATAATGCTTTATATTTGTAAGAAATATATTTCTTATGGATTTAATGGCAGTGAAAAATGCAAAATTTTGCACATAATCTACCCACAGTGCCTGTAGATCTCGGTAAAGTTCAGTGAATCTATGCTAGTTTGTTAGAAAAAGGAATGCTTTAAATATGCATTTTGGTTACCTGCTTATGTAGGCCAATTGCCTATGAGTACTTCTGCTGGAGAATACTTAGGGAAAAATGCGTAAATAGTTATTAAGTTTTCAAAGTTGGAGCAGAATAGAAGCTACTATTTTGCAGCCCTGGCTTCTTATAAAATAATGAACAGTGCCATCCTTCTAAAACTTGCATCCTTATATGATGTATTTGTGCTACTTGTCAGTGGCTTCCTGGAAGGATATAATATTGCATCCAAACTCATAGAGAAAGATAACTGATACTTCTCCCCACCCCCACCCCTTGAAAGCTGTTCTGTAGCATCTGCTTTATTCTGAGCAATAAGCACCTAAGAGTTGAATATGTAGGATGGCATAGTACTCATCCTAGGAATTGAGAACATGCAAAGAATCCTTGTCCTAGAACATAGTATCTCAAACTTGGCAACTTTTAAGATGTGTGAACTTCAACTCCCAGAACTCCCCAGCGAGCCATTCTGGGAGATGAAGTCCACACATCTTAAAGTTGCCAAGTTTGAGAAATGCTGTCCTAGTGTATACATATATGGCACAGCTGATTTGGGTATAGTTCTTAATCAGATTTCAGTGCTTTCTTTTCTTTTAGTATTCCATGCAGGGTATGTGAGAGATATAGTTCCAGTTCCAGATTAAGATATGGTTTGAAATCTCTCTATTGACTTGCATGTTAGAATGTTCACACCTGTTCCTAGGTAGCTGTGACTATAAACTTAACCAACATTAGGTGCCTCAGGAATGTTATCTGTGTGATCCCTTTTCACCTGCATGGGAATTAAAAGAGCATGGGTGTTTTCTACCATAGCGTTTACTTTTTTCAAATGGATTCAATAAGAGATTTCTACGTGGATTCCATCTTTCATACTGAAGACATTGAGACTGTCCTTGATAATATGTAATGTCAATACTGAACTGTATTTGACATTTTATTGTGGCACACTAATAAACATTTTATGTATTACTTTATATTTGTCATTTTGTATTCTGTTGCATCATGACTTCCATAGAAAATACCTAAAATATATTTTATTATATCTCACCAATTCCTGTTATCTAATCCTTACGCATACACATTTCACAATCGAGTCCAACCTTGCTTTTATGCACTGCTGCTGGATCACAGTCTTTTCACATATTTTACCACTAGGAATTGTTTCTTATTGACTGCAATTCAATGTGACTCATTTGTAAACTACCTCATTTAAAACAGAGTATTAACCTCAGAAATAAGTTGCATTATCTGCCATTTTTTTACACTGAGAATACTAATAATTCAACATATTTTAGCAATGAATAGAGGTCTTTGGAAATGGTACATTCCCAAGGCAAAGATACATTTCCCAGCTTTACTCCCAGAAATGGGGGATACCATAGCCTATTGCAACAGGATTGTTGTGAAATCAATAAAAATATTTAATAAATCCCTTTCACCACAACACAAATATATGACCTGTGGATAAGTAGTGAGGGTGAAATAAGAACATTAATGAAGCAAAGACATTCTTGAGATATACACACCTTCTATATTACTTTTATACTATTCCTCCAAAAATAAGGTGTAAGAGTCTCTGGTAACATATCCTAATTAAAATTTCCCCAATGAATAAACTTGTTGAAAGTGATCTTTTTGCCAGATGTCATCAAGAAAGAACTGTACAAGCATCTTCATACAGGTAGTCCTTGCTTAATGACAGGAATTGGGACCAGAATTTCCTTCGCTAAGCAATGCGGTTGTAAAATGTGACTCCACATGACCACATTCCTTGGTGATGGCAGTCCCACTGCTGTCATTAAGCAAGGATCACAGGCCGTTAAGCAACTACTATCTTGTAACTTCCTGCCAGCTTCCAAGAAAGTCATTGGAGAAGCTGGCAGGAACTTGCAAGTTCCAGGCAGCTCGCAAGCAGGCTGGTGGGTGGCTATGATGCGGCAGGACCAGCTGCTGCCAGGTGGGGGAGGGTGCACAGGCGGCTGCTGCAGTGCAAGCATGGCTGGTCTGGGGGTAGCTAAGGGAGGGTATGCAGAGGGATCCCTGGGATCTTGTACTCTGTAGCTGGGCTCCTTGGGAGAAAGCTTACAGGAGTGTCTTACGAATTTCCCTGCTGGCTTCCCCATTGACTCTGCTTGTGGGAAGCCAGCAGGGAAGGTTGCAAATGGCAATCGTGACCACGGGATGCTGCAACTGTCATGAGTGTGAGCTGGTTGCCAAGTGCCCGGATCATGATTACGTGACTGCAGGGGTGCTAGGATGGCCAGAGCTTCAAGGACTGGTTGTGTAAGTACCACTGTTTCAGCACCATCATAACTTCAAACAGTTGCTGAACAAGTGGTTGTTAACTGAGGACTACCTGTACCTTTTAACCTTGTGAGTTGGAATATTTTTCATTAACTGGAACAAGTCAGCCAGATAAGTGAGTTGATGTTAGTGTAGTTCAGTAAACTGTAGTGGAATGACCACAATTATGTATATAATTGTGTATATTTTGGAGAGAATTCAAAATGGGTTTTTCCCTCAATCTCCTTAAAATTGTGCTAGAACGGACAAAAGGGAGACAGTGTATAAGTGAAGTTTACCCTGTGCTTGTATCCATGCTTAAATTTTATGGTTTATAGCTGCCCTGAGCGGCAAAGCAACTCTCTTATGCTCATTTTAACATTCAGTTATTAGTGAATACGATTGAATTCTAGCCTCCAGAATCTGTAGAATTATTTTAAAATAATGGTTATTTTAAATAATGGCCATTATAAACTTGTTTGAAGCTTGTCTATAAAAGCAATTGTTATAAAAATACTCTTGTAGCATATAGCAGTTGTAGTGATAAAACATTGGTGTACTTATCATTGGTTAATGCACACACAGGTCTGCAATACTATTTTCTTGCCTTTTATTTTTTTCCCCACAAGCCCCAACTTAGTCCAAGTGGAATAAATTTAAATGGATTAAAGAATAATCCTGTTGCAGAGTTTTCTATCAGTTTATAGACAGTATTTATATGCCTGAGAACTTACTTTTGTTAATTCTGAATCAATAGTTCACAATACAGTTTCACACTTTGCTATTGATTTGTAACCATGTCCTGATTTTTTCAAGGTTCTTATCCATCCACTTGATGTTTTCCTCAATGGTTTCTATTGCTTGTTGAACAGCACGGAGCTCTGAAGTTTTTTTGTCCATTGAGCTGAAATAGTTTTTTACCTATTGAGGAAATACACAGAGAAACAGAACTGATTCTTGTAGTATTATTTCTAATAGGATTTGAAAAGAATGTTTTAGAAATCACTCCATCAAACAACTTGGGGCCTACCATGATAGCAACAGAAAAGTCGTTTTCCCAAGAGAGATGTATTACTGAATATGCTGTGCATAGCACGGCATGCAAAACTATTTGGTTATGCTTATTTCTCCTTCCTCACTATGCATTCTGCCTTTGGCCAGAAAGGAGTTGAAAATAAAAAAATCTCTTCCAGTTGACAAGATGGAAGAGAAGCCTGGTTAGCAATGAAAAACTCCCTAAGAGGTATGGACCATCCTCACATGCTCTGGTAACTGGATGGACACGGACTCCACTGCAAGCAGTTGACGAACTGGGGGTATGTGCAGGTTTTTTCCTCCTTTCTGTCAAAGGCTGCAGCTATCTCAGAAATACTCATTCTCAAGCCCCACTCTGTTCCAGATGGAGCTTGTAAGAACACACACACACACACACACACACACAAAATATGTGGTAAACTGGGTGTTAAACATTTTCATAGGTGTTGACAGTGCACTGTTGCAGAACTAGATATTTATATGTAGTGCATCCTGTCAAACCATAAACTATTTGTGCAATAACAAAGCATAGCAGAAGGCAAGAAGGTCAACGAGGGGAGGGAACAGGGGCCTGTACACAGGCCACCTCCACCTGCATTTAAGTAGTAACTTTCAAACTGCAAGTACAACTTGTGTCCACATGGAGAGTGTGCTTGTGTTCATGACAATGTGAGTATAGCCCTTCTTCAGACCTCCAGCCCAAATATATGGAGGCTGTAAAGAGTGGAAGCATAAAGCCATTCTTTTCCCATCCAGAGTGCTCCACACATTCTGGCAACCAGCTGAATGGAGCTAGAAACGTTGCTGTAAGTTACAAACATACACACAAACAAAGATTATGGAAGTGTACTTTTGTCCAGCCTAGACTTTTGGATCCCACAGGTTGAGGGTTAAAGTGCTGTATCTTAATCATCTCGCAGTCCCTTCACTGACACCTTCCATGAAGCAGCAGTAAAGGTAAACATGGCTTCCAGTCACTACATGAGCACATCCATATAGCCTTCTTAGTGACAGTACAGGAGTAGTTTGCCATTGTTGCCTTCTGCAACTGCGTATTTTCACTTCTAGCTTTAGCCAGCACGCTGGGATTTCCTCGTAACCTCCAATCCTCCTGTTAACCAGGTCTGGCCTTGCTTAGCTTTTTCAAAATCAGCCACCTACGAGGTTTTGTCATGAACTGTTGTGTTAAGCCAAAATTGTGAAGACATTTATCTCAATTATAAACAAGCAGCAAGTAAGAGTATGTAGTATAATTGTCCCCATTTGGCTCCTCCACAGTAAAAATAGCTAAATTCCATCTTGGTTCCCTCTTATAAGTCTGAGTCATGAGGTAAGAACGCAGGCAATGTGACCAAACTCTTTGAATCTAAATTTTCATATGCTTTCAAGGTGGTTTCTTTTTTTATTCAAACTGACAAACATCTGAAACACAAGCAGGCTATTTTCTGTAACCCAGAGAATTAAATGACTAGTTCACTGATTTCATTGATAATGTTCTAAAACTGTGCCAGATGCTTTGGTCACATTGCACAAATTTTGTGAGGCCTACATTAGTTACCAATTTCTTTCCAGGTGCAATTCAAAGTTCTAGTTTTGACTTATAAAGCCCTACACAGCTTAGCAGCTAACGACCTTCACAGCCACCTATTCCAACTACAATTAACCCTCTATCCCCCATGGGAATTCTGCCAGGAGAAACTGGCTTCTGGTCCCCCATTTTCATGAGGGAAGGGGACTTGGGAGCCAGAAATTCTGTTTTTCCATCATCTCCCCCATACTCTTAGCAATGAACTCCTAAAAGGTAATGGAACTATACTCTTCCAGAGGGCCTTTAGAGGTCTGAAGTTACTTTATTAATTAATTGATTAGTATTAGGGTCTATTTCTTGAAGTGATTTTGATCTGCTGATGTTGTAGTGATGTTATGTTTTATTGTAAGCTGACATGAGTCAATTATTTGGTGGTCTCAGAGAGATGTATATGTCTGTATGTGTGTGTGCATGCGTGAATGAATGAATGAATGAGAGAGAGCCAGTTTAGTGTAGTGATTAAAGGCAGTGGACCAAAAACTAAAGTTCTTAAATATGGAAGCCAGCTGGGTGACCTTGGACCAGTCACTCTCTTTCAGCCCTAAGAAGAATGTAATGGCAAACCACTTCCAAAAATGTTGCGTGTATGTATGTATGTATATGCATAGAGTTGTCTATAGAGTTCCCGTAAGTCAAGACTGGCTTGAGGGCACACACACATACACACACACGTGTGTGTACACAGAACTAGAGTATAAACATTATTAGTATATACTGTACCAATTTCAGTCTATATAAATGGTTTGAACTGATTTAAGATAAAAACATTGTGTCACAGTTACTTATGTAATATAGACTGTCAAAACTATATTTACCTCAGCAAGCTGTTCCCTTGTGGAATACTGATTTGTTATTCCACTAATTATTCGTGCAAGTGAGGCTGAGCCAAGTTCAAATCTACAGGAAAAACAAACAAAACCAGTAACAAACATCAATGAAGTAAACAGTTTTGTAGGCTTCCTCAAAATAAAATAAAATGCAAGAATTGGAATAATACTTAAAGATCACACATACTTTTTTACAAGTTTATGCCAGTTTTGTTTGAAAAACTTCCAAGCTAATTGATATCCATAAGGATTCCTTCCAACACTGATAAGTATAAGAGGAAGTTCCTGAGTCTTCATTATGTCACCTTGCAGTGCTTGATCCAGTAACCTAAAAAGAACATGATCAAACAAGTTTTTAAATTAAACATGGATACATGAGATACACGTAGATTTGTTAAGAAAAAACTTATTGAAGCTTTCTTAATCTGAAAGTGCATGGAGTGCAACATCAAAAGTAATACATCTTTCTTAATTTCTTCTTTTACTGGTTCACTCTGCTGGATAGCTACTATTCCCCCAAAGTAATGGTGCTCTAAATTTTCTTGTCCCACCAGCCATTCTTGGCAGGTATTGTTTCACAAAAATAGTATTTGATTTATCCCATGCTTCTAAGTGGCTTACATGCAAATGAATCAATTCCAGACAACTGTTTTTATTTTCTTCTTCTGTCTTTTAATATATCTATAGTAGAATATATGCACAACATGAAGGAAGTCTAGACAACTTTATCCAATTTTTTGTCTAATCTGGTAGGTATTCCCTAATTTCATTAACCTCACCTCTCCCCCACGTTATATTTAGCTTGGCTTAACTTTATAATATACTTTGAAAACATTAATACTGTCATCTGTTCCAAATAGGAAAAAATACATTAAAGTTTGAAAGTTTCCCATTTTAGAGAAGGACAAATGTATTAGCCAAAGTCGTCATTATTGCCCTTTTTATAAGTATTTGCACCATCCCAAATTTGACATTTTTTTCAAAGAGAAAAAGAATAGAGGAAAAAACAAGTTGTGCCAAGTTAGCCCAACCAACTCCTGAAAAATCTATTCCAGCTATCAATAGCCATAATCAGAAATATTTTTGTAAAAATGGCTGAGAAAAAGTTTCATGTCTCTTAGAGATTTAAATAATTTTTTGTATTTTCTTCATCTTCTCTAAGAACACAGTAACACAGAGTAGAAATGTAGGTACTGAATGGAATTATTTTACTGTGTCAGACCCTGGACAATTTTCCCCCCCTTTGCTCTGTTTACGAAGTATAAAAGAGGTTATGGAGTGCAGAAGAAAGAAAACAGAAGGCTGACTGGAATTTAGCTAAAAGCAGAGAAAAATCATCTTTTGGAAAAGATGATTGTGAATGTGGGTTAACATATAAAGACTTACTAGCACAGGAAAATGGGGAGCTTAAGATGAAATCAAGAGAAAAATTGACTGCAGAGGGATTAGTTTTCAATGGTTCTCATATGCACAATTAAGAGAAAGATTTAATATAGATTAAAAAAGTACCAGGAATAGAATGTGATAAAATGGAATTTGAAAATTAATTATGTACAAATGATGAACAGTGATTGCTAAAGTGTATAAACTTTTGTTGACATTTGAAATGGAGGAAGTGCAAGTTAAAGAATGTATGGTAAATTGGGCCAAGAATTTTGGTTATAACATTCAAATGGATCAATGGGAGAGAATGTGGTTAAAAGGTCTGAAATTCACATTGTTTTACAATTTAAAAGAAAGCTTTTTTAAAATGATGTACCTGTGGTATATGACACCAGAGAAATTGCCTAGATGCATAAAAGTACTTCTAATCACTGTTGGAAATGTGAAAAATATGAAGGGACATTTTATCATGCATGGTGGACTTGTGAAAAACCAAAAAGATACTGGAAATGAATACATATAGTGATGCAGAGAGTTTTAAAAATTAATATTCAGATGAAACTGGAACTTTTCTTATTAGGACTTATGGACACTCAACCAGAAAAGGCTCATGGACGATTGGTTTTATATATGGTAACTGCAGCAAGGCTATTATATGCACAATGATGGAAGACCACAGAAACACCAATAATGGATGAATGGATTGTGAAGATGGCTGAGTTTGCAGAAATGGATAAACTGACTTGTTTGATTTAGGAGGGAATTACAACTACTTTTATAAAAGACTGGAAACCCTTTATAGATTTTTTGCTGAAAATGGATAAAAATGAACTGCTGATTTTAGGATTTATTGTTTGTTTATAGGGAGAAGGGAACTATGATATGCATTATGGGAGGGTGGAGATGGTAATTGCTATGTTTGTAACTGCTGCAAAGGAATTACAACTACTTTTATAAAAGACTGGAAACCCTTTATAGATTTTTTGCTGAAAATGGATAAAAATGAACTGCTGATTTTAGGATTTATTGTTTGTTTATAGGGAGAAGGGAACTATGATATGCATTATGGGAGGGTGGAGATGGTAATTGCTATGTTTGTAACTGCTGCAAAAAGACTGGAAGTCGCTTCTTTGGATATTTTTCTTTTTATTGTTTTTTTTATTCTTCACTTTTTCTTTTACCCTTTCATAATCTTTTTCTATTTCTTCTATGTTTCTGTAGTTTTTTAAATCTTTGTAAAATCTTTTAATAAAAATTATTCATAAAAAAGGCTGATTGTGAATGCAGAATGGATTTTTTAATGAAATAAAATTCTAGTGATTAAATATAAATAAAAACAACTAAACAGGTGAAAATATAAAGGTGAAGAAAATATAGCCTGGAACAGAAGATTAAAAGCTATTGCTTAGCTGTTTCCTACTCCTTATTGAAAAATCAGTCTATCATTCCTTGTTCCATACAAGCTGCCCACCCCTGCCCCGGAATAGTCATGCAAAACTGCATTTCTGTCTAGCACATATTAACAACATATGTAACTAATGTATAATTAAACAATTGTAATTCCATTATAATTGTTTCCCCCAGTAACAGTTATTGTATAACTATTAAATGGTCATGAAAATGTAAGAAATGGGTGTGGAGGGGGCTGTAATGTTAATATATGAACTAGTTCCTTTGAATTTAAAACACCTATGCTACTTAAAGAATACTTACCATTGAAGCTTTTCTTTATTTTGGCTCAGACTGAGTACAGCTTCAATCTGATTCTTTTCAGTGTCGAATTCAGGTAGCTGATACTTGCTAAAAAGGAAATCCCAGTTTTCATCAGTTTGTATTCCAACCGCATATACTGCCATCTTAACGTTATTGGGCAACCTGTAACAAATTGTGCTCATATTATTTTCTGAGAAAAAAAATTAATAAATTATTGATAGTTATTTGATTCAACTGCAAAGTACTACTCCCACCAAACAGGATTACAGGACCCCTGAACAGATGCCTTCTCCCTGAAGATGGAAGGATATTGTTTAAGGCACCCCTTAAAAAGTGAAATACATACTTGAGAGTCCCATCCGAGTTCTTCCATTTCATGAAGTACTCTTTTGCCTTGTCTACACATGGTTGGTATTTGCGTACACATGCAAATGTAAGTAGGGAGCTCTGAAGCATTTGCTCAGGCACTGTACCTTTATCATCCCATGACTGTTTGTCAATCATATTTTTAAATAGATTGACTATATATGCCTAGAATTATTTGTGAAATAAAAAAAATCAGCTTGTAATAAATGTAAATCAGTTATTTAAAACAGTAACTAGCAATCTTGTTATTCAATAAAAAATCATATTGCTTCTATCTTTCTTCCATAAATCACAAACAGAAAGCTGGATAGGATGTATGCTCCCTATGGTTTAAGGAACAATTTCTTTTAATAATCAAAAACAATGGAGACAAAAACTATTTCAGATGATATGTGATTTTGTTTATAAAATTGTGATCCTATGTGCATGCCTATATATTTGTATGTTAGAGTCCTAGTAATAACATCACTGTAGTCTATATTGTTGAAGGGATTCCAACAGAAGACAATACATGTAGCTCAGGGTTGAACTGTGGAGTCCTTGGTGCTCTCTGAGCTTGGTTATTTGCTTGCAAGCGTTTCATTACCAGACTAGGTAACATCATTAGTGCTTTAGGGATTATTAAAAAAAGAGATTATTAAAGGGGTTAAAGGGAAGGGATTATTAAAGGGAAGGGAGTGTAAGGGAGGGGATAGGTAACATCATCAGTGCTTTAGGGATTATTAAAAAAGGGATTATTAAAAAAGGGGATTATTAGAAAAGGATTATTAAAGGATATTAAAGGGAAGGGATTATTAAAAAAAGAAATTATTGGAAATTCCAGGCCTTACAGATTTGGCCTATATTTACTACCCTTATTTGCCAAGCTGTAAAGGAATGGAAGATACTCTATTATCTCTGTTTAGGGAATAGGAGACTGTTCGGAATGTATATGTAGAAGATGTGCATGGTTATTTTTTTTTTAAACTCACAAGTTATTTGATTTCTTGAAACTGAGAAACATACAAAAACTTAGAGTCACAGAATTATAGGGCTGGAAGAGACCTTGCAGGTCTTCCACACCAACCCTCTACCCAGGGCAGGAACCTTCTTATCCCACACAATGGCTGTCCAAGCTTTGCTTGAAAACCTCCAATGTCAGAGCTCCAAGACTTCAGGAAGCAGACTGTTCCACTGCTTAATGGCTGACAAACCTTATTAAGATAAATGGAGTACTCAGTAGGTACACATACTGTAATATGTAATTGAGTGCCTTACATGTCAACCAACTCTAACTTTATTTTAAAGATTATTCTTAACCAATGCATATTAATTTCCAATTTCCATACATCTTCTAAAGAGAAGAAAATTGGCTGGAAGTTTATCAGCTGATTCTGTATCTAGAAGGAGCTCTAGTAAAAGAACATATTCTAATAAAGAGCTAGTCTAGTAATACTGTTACTTGGAATGTGTTTATATTGGTATTAACAGTGGCTACAATGTTGACTAGAACTGGGAAGATCGAAAACCATCCTCTGCCTTGAAAACTCATTGGGTGGTATTAGCCAAGCTTATCTCACATGGTTATTATTGTTGGGAGAAAATTAAGGGAGATTCATGGGTAACCTGTTTTTTAATTTTGGTATCTGTCCAATTAATCCTGATGAAGAATCCTGATGATCAATCCTGATCCTAGAATATTCTGCTGATATATTAGTTTGTATGCATGTGTGTGGGGGAGGATTTTCATGTTTTCAGTTTCCTGTTCCAAAAATCTGCCTCAGAACCTCAAAGATTTTAGAGGATAGCATGAGATGGCAATGGGGGCTCCATGGAGAAGAACCACCTATGAAAATTACCACTGTTCCAACAATGAAAATATCTACCTAACTGAAATATCTTGCATGAATGGAAGGATTATTCCAGTTTACTGAAAGACAATTTGGAGCTTAAGACTATGGGTTCATAGTCCCCCCCAACCCATTTGACCGCCCAATCCTGATCAACTTCATTAATATCCTGAGGCCTATTTAGATCAGCAATACATTTTCCCCTCCTCAGTACAATTCTGTTGTGCTATACTTCTGGAATCCATCTACAAAAAGATGTGTTATTCTGTAAAGAATTTGCCTTGAATTACTCCATCTTGGAATTATTAAGTTTAAAAAGAAACAAAATAGGATTCATTACATTCTAGCATAAACATATCCATTGATTATTTAAAAATCTATGTAATTTTTCAGTTTTATTCTGCTTTAGCTCTTTCCTATTTTACCTTTAATTGTTGTTCTGTGTCACTTAAGTTTGTCTTCTCCAGCAGTTTATACAGAGGGATTAGCTCATTCAGGCCTTGATATACAGGAGTAACTTCAGATTCATGTTTTAAGTATAATGTTAAATCAAGAGCTTTTGTAATTGACAGTTTTCCAGCACTGAGGAAATAGAAAATGTCTGTTTTAATAAATAAAAAATATTCATCTTCTCTATGAATTTTCTAATTAATAGATATTAACCAAATAAATTTCAGTTTTTTTGTTTTAGTGATGGCTAAACATAAATCAAATGTATTGTTATTAGGTACAAAAATCCAGGTATCTTTGGATACATCTAGTGATGTATTTGTCTAAAAAGCAAATCTAGATATTAGATACACTGAAACTTAGCAATATATGTTTAGAGCTGATATACCTCAGCTACTCCCATGAAAGGGGTCTGAATTCTTATTCTCAGAATGCACTGGTATAGCTCTGTGGCCTTCAGCACATTTTAAGCTCAATTTTCATCTACTTGTGTTTTTAAACTATGTGTTATATGGCCTTGGACTATCTCAGTTTAAACCCCTTGGCACAATTCTCAGCTTGGGAAATCAGAACAGTACAAGGGTGCATAACTTCTGTCTTACATTCTAATAGTATTTATTAATATACAGTATAACAGTTATTTCCTTTCTTAATTCACGTTGTACCCTACCTTTGGCTATATTCAGATATTCAGTATACTTCAACCACTGTCTTTTGCACAAACATGGAATAAGCTTGTTTTCCAGGAAGAGCACACATCCTTCTTTAAAAGAAGTGTCTCCTAAGTGAGCTGCTTCTTAGAGCTTGCTTATTTCCTTCACTCCCCAGTCCCAAAATATTAAGCCTGTGCAAATCCTCTAATCCCTTACCTCACCAGCTGGAATGCACTGTTAATGAGGCTCGCTCGGTCATTGCTGCTTATTGTTTCATGATTGTCTTTTAACAGGCGAATTAGAGCATCCCAGCCATGATCTCCATAATGCACAATATAATAACCATTCATTCCTACGTTAAATTTTATCCACTCCACTTCTTCTGGGAGGACTATATCATCTAAAAGTAAAATATATCACAATCCACAGAAACACCTGAGTTTATTTACATTCATCAAATCATTAAAAGGATTTGCTACATTAATACTGTTTTAAAGATATACCTTCAATACCATATCACACAACTGCTTTGTAGAAATGCACTTATTTTCAGTGACTAAAGTGATACCACAACCTTAAAATTCAGTATTCTCTATTTTTAAACACTTCCACAATAATTTATTATATGTTTCAAGAATTGATGAAAATATATTGTTATTTAATAGAGTTATGCAAAATGCTTTGTGATAAAAAAATGCAACCTCAGAATGGTCATTCCAGTCTCTGTTCCAAGTCAGAATGATATATTTCAGGGTTGAGCCAACTTTGGAATGTTTTGACTACAAAATGTTTTGCACTCCTCTATTGTTTAATGTTTGAAATCTTATGTAGGTCTCCACCATTTAAGTTATACTTACTTGTTTTGGTTGTCAGCAAGAACCTCTGAATATCATTACATTTATTGGTAATATATGTCAATGGGATATGCCATAGATTCCTAAAAAACAAAATCAGCACTGTGATTTTTGAAACAAACTGAATTATTTTAAACAGTTAAAATGAATGCATTTAAAAAAAAACCCTGAGCTGCATAACTTTGTGGGATAAATAGAAGTTGTAAACTTGAGAGGAGCATTGTAGAAACAAGGACAGATTTATGAAGTTGAAAATAAGCCTGTGTTTCTAAAAAGTATTTAAATGGTTGACTCAACCTTCCTCCCACATTAATGGAAATTATTACTGTTTTCACATCTATTTGATGTTTACTCTGGAGTAAATTTAATGAGTAATTGCCAGTCAGAAACATATGTGTGTATAAGTTTGTCTATTTAACTATTTAACTTATGCTGTTAAAAGGAATGAGGGAAGCCGATATACACTCTGGTATTTCAGCATTTAAAGGAATATCATACATACATTTCTTTTACTAGCCCATATCATGAAGTAGAACTAATCGAAAGCATAATCAAAACAAGCCTCATCTGTTCCTTTGTCATTACCCAGTTGATACACTAGAGTTCTTTGAAAAATGTTCTTGTTGTAGATGGACATTTTTTCCTTTAACAGTAACTGTCACTAGAGGAAATCCTTTTTGGAATGTCCAAGTGTTCATCACTGTCTGCACATCATGGAGTGCAACTTTGGTCCAGTGCTATATATAAGTTACAAAAATATGAACAAAAACATAGAATTATATGCATTGATAAAAAAGCAGTAGTCACAGAAATTAAAAAAATACAAGCATGCTATATTTCAATAATTAGTCAGAATCAACAATGCAATGTCTTCAACTGTGATACTATCTTTTCAGCATAAGGAGGAAATGTTTATGATCATCACTTAAGGGTTCTTGTAACAATCAAATGATGACACTAAGAAGTTCCAGATTCTTCATTTTTATTTCCAACCATTTATGTATCAGAGGAACAAGACTCCTTTTTGGATTATTTTCTCTAGCTGTACAGTCCCTAAACCATGTCCCAACTTGGTTATTATAAGAAATTGTTATTTGCTACGTGCAGAACAAGTTAAACTTGTGTACCCCCACCTTTCCTCCCCTTCCACACCAGCAAAGTAATCAGGCTCTGTCATTTTTTATATTTTAATCAGCTATAATTCTCCAAATAAGTTGATGAACTTTTAAAAATTCCATTCAAACAATGCTTTATTTAAGTTATGGTTTGAGAACAAGACCAATACAGTACTTCAATCATGGGCTGTTTTTACTAAGCATTATTTTTTTTAAAAAAAACCAAGTTTTCAAACATATGTGGCCATGAAAGAAATCTCAAGGTTCACCATGTTTCATACATTGGAAATTTTTAATTTATATTAGGGATGAACTAGGATAATATACAACTGATAGGGAAAATGTAAATACTTTTTTTTAAATGTATAACTGTCAGGGGACCTATAGCTTTTGTTATGTTTTGCCTATATGCTAAAAAATTATTTATGGAGCAACCTGATAAAACTCTACTACAAGCTTTTTGAGAGAACTGGACATGAATACAATCCAAAACAAATACCTGTGATTTTTTGCAATATTTTGGAATATTCTAACATATCTTAGCTCATAAATTGGTGGTGCTCCCTTCAGATATTGCCCTTTGTCAAATGACTGCATAGCAGTAATCAGTTTTACTGATTTAAATTCTTAGTCCCCAAATATCAAGTTATTACACAATACAACCTTTAGCAGTATGCAAAACAATTCAAAATCCCTGTCTGAACTTGAAAGATCCTGTTTTGAGTTTGGAACAACTGTTCTGAGCTCAAAACAGTCACTTTGAGTTCAGACTTTTTCAGAAAGGTTGGAACAGTACTCAAAGGTTCTGTGGATAATACTGAAGTAACCCATTTCAATCGCAAAATGTTCTAAATTTTGCATACCTCTACAACTTTACAAATGAAAAGAATCTATCACACCATTATTACTTATGAATAGGAATATATAATATATAATAAAAATTTAGCTCACTGAATTTAAGTTTCTCTCCTTGTTTCTGATACAAACTTCATTTTGTATTTGGCTTCCATCAGCAGTTGGACAAACCTATTATTGTTATTAAAGATATCACAACATGAACATCAATGCTGCTCAAAAACATTTTAAAACTAGATATTTTGGTAGAAGAAATGTAAGAAATACTTGCATCTGACAAGCTCTCCCATAAATCTTTGTTTTGTGTGTTCTGATAACTGAATCGCAACAAATATTTTATAAGACCAGCTTTAAAAACTTCTGGGCTGAGATAATCCTGTAGCATATTGAGAATACAAGCTCCCTGTAAAGAGAATGAAATAATACAGAATACATCTGTTGTTTTTTCATGCTTAGGAATTTGGACAAATATAATGTCCATTTAATCTTTGATTATGGCACAAAATTCTGAGTTTGTTTTGTCTCTGCAGACTGAAATAAATAATTCTAAAAATGTTTCTCATAGATGGATATCTATTTTTCTTGCATCTAAAGTTGGTCTACATTTTGTTGGCCTTTAAAGTGCAATGAACTGCTGAGTTTAACGTAATGGATGGACACTCATGTATAAATGGTTCACAACAGATTAAAGTGAATGGTGACATGAATTGTCTATAGGGGCAATAAAATGAAGAATATGGATAATAATCTTTGAAACAAAAACATGCACTCACTGAGCCTGAATTCATAAAAATTACATCAGAATCAAATAAAATATATTTAAATAATATATTTGAGCAAAATTTAATTAAAACTAAATTTTTCAGATTTGTACTGTTTGCACACCAATAATCTTAAAATCTATATAGCTAATATTTTAGTAATGATGGCACAGTCCATTAACAAAGCAATTATTCCGCTGACCAAACTAAAATTTTAGGACCAAAATTTATTAAGTACATTTATAAATTTTGCCAGTTTATCTCTCTTTCTCTCTCTCTCTCTGCATGTGTATATAGGGGGCAGGGGGGAGAGAGGGAGGGGTCTGCATATAAATAAAAAAGGTTAAAAAAATTAAAAGGAGGACTCGCCCCTATAACCTCCCCCAGCCCAAAGAGGACCGCACGTGTTCAGTTGACTACAGAATAGTGATTATCCACTGTGAAGAGACAAAGGCAAAAGCAGGAGAAATGGAATGGAGTATCCTGGGACACAAAAGGACTAATTACAGATTTAAGCTTTATTTTTCTATAACAGAGGCTTAGTATTCCTGCAGATGTAAAATTTGAGGCAGCCATATGCTCACAAACATTTAACTGAACATCAGAATATCATATAGACTGATCATCTTAAAAGTGAATATGAAATTCACTTTCCAGTTTGAAAGATAGTACCCAGATTTATTAAACTTAGCCAAAATTTCTTATTTTACCTTATCGTAGGAAACATCATCAAACATTTCTAGAATCTGAGCTGGATCTTCAACAGGAGTCGATATGGGATGTGAAGAATCTAAAACATCTACCTCCATGGCATCAAAATACTTGTTTAAAAAGTAATCTTCCTAAACAAAAGAAAAAGAAGCCCAAACTAGTCTTAGGAGATTTTGAGCTGATTTCTAAATGAGACATTAAGAGAGAAGAACTTGCACTTAATTCCCTATACAGAATTAATACTTTATTTTTTCATTTATGACTTCAAGCTGCCTTATACACATTTTTGAGTAACATTATTTTTGGTAGCTGTGGACAGTTAGTGTATGTAGATCTTCCACCACAGACCACTTAGGTAAACAAGGTGGCCAAAGTAAAATGAAACTTTAACCCCCCCTTCCAAATCCAGACTGCGGTTAAATTATGTAAAATAATTATTATATCTGTTTACAAAATACTTCTGCTGATAACATGCTTATCTTTATTATTACTGGGATAAAACGTCATTATTCTATGAGGTTTTATTCAAGTATTGAATTAAATATTGATAGGCTAATATTTCATCTACACGATGAAATGAATTCTAGTCTATAAAAACTTATGCTCTAATAAATTAGCTAGTGTTTAAGGTGTTCCATATTATTTGTCTGATAATATTGGTCTCAGTTAAAAACAGAAGGAAGATAATGTGTTACCTTTACGAACTGAGAACAACTGGAATGTTGGGGGGACTCCATTCAAACATCCCACCTCCCAAAAGAAAAAAGGGAGGACAGGGAATAGCAGGAACAAACTTCTAGGGTTATTTTATCTTAGGGCTTAACTTCACAAGTATCTTAGAGAATAATAGGATTAGTGTTATGGGGAAGTGATACCCCTCACAGTACAATTATAAAACACTCAGGCTTGGAGTTGGCAATTTTCTGATGCAGTAATAAGCAACACAGCACAGGGCCAAGCCATCCATTCACCCATTAGGTGGCACTCATTGATTCCACTGTTTAATTATTATGCTGTGGGCAGTATTGGACAATGGTGCCCACTGCCTGAAAATTTTGCTGACCCTGTCCTAGTGCAAATCTATATGGGGAGGAATGTGTCTATCTCCAGTCCTGGAACTTTCCTGGCATGTTATTAAAAATGGGGGGGGGGAACAATACTCACAACTTTTAGTTCTGGGTGGGTCTTGCTTACTGATACAAATTCCATAAACTTCGCAAAACCTTCATTAAGCCAAAGATCATTCCACCATTCCATTGTGACCAAATTTCCAAACCACTATAAAAAAGAACACATAGCAGGATTGAGACAATTCTTGAGACAATAACCAACTTGAAAATGTCTACATTTCATGGGTGGGGAACAAAGTAAATGTATAGCCTGGCATTGTTCTGTGCCCACTCAACAGACTTTTGTTGAAGAACAAACAATAGACAACACCTAACATTAGTTGCTTATGCAAGCTGGGCATGTACAGCATCTCCAATACATATACTAGCAGCTAATTCCAGCATTATGAACCTTTAGGCTGATTATTTGGCATTGATTGGGCAGTTTTTAAGGAGGCAACTGGAATTTCCACAGGAATGTATTTACAAGAACCAACTCTTACTGAATTTCTATAGGACAGGCAGCCAACTATCTCAAATAAAATATTCACATCTAATCCAGTCAAAAATAACTGGAATGTAAGCAGGTGCCTATTTTTCCTCCTGTTGAAATCACTAAAACCTAAACATTTATGTAGTATCACTAAAACTGTATGTAGCTTGTTCACTGGTGAATGGAAAGCATGCATGTGAATCTACTCTCTCTGAAAAGTTCCACTGATTCAGAAGATAGAATAATTCATGTCTTTTCTAAATTACATAAAGCGGTTCATCTAAGAAATCACGTTGTAGATTCTGTTAGCTATTACGAGAACAGAATTTCATATACACTGGCTTGTGTCATTTACATAAACATGTCACAATGTAGCAGTCAATTGATGTTACTTCTCTGATTTCAGAGGGAGTTGGTGTCCAGATAATTAAAATATAGCTCTTAATTTCATATCTGAAACACAAACCACCATTTACCTGATGAGCAAGTTCATGGGCTACCATCAAAGTAATTCCAAGTTTCCTTGATGCTGAGGATTTTTCAGAATCATATAACAAAGCAGATTCCCTGTATGTGGTCAATCCCCAATTTTCCATTGCACCAGACTGAAAATCGGGAATAGCTGCTAGATCTGTAATTAAATATTATTAGTAATTTTCTTAAAACGTGTTTACACCATATAGTAACAAGTATACCTTGAAAGAAGTCTGTATGCACGTTAACTAACACACAACTAACACTCTTTCTCACACACAGACAGTATCAGTTCAAATATTTAGTGATATGGCAATTTTTCAAAAGTGCTGTGGGTAACCGTTAAATCTTTTTGGCTGGTGTGGGTCTTCCGGGCTGTGTGGCCGTGGTCTTGAAGTCTTGTTTCCTAA